ATTATTTAGCATTTTCCATATCAGATTATGAGCAAAAGAAAATAACTATCTGACTTATAAATAATATAATAAAAATGTGAGTTCAAAGTATGATTTCTAAAAATAAATTTATCTTGAAATATATTTAAATACTATTTAAATTATTTAGCACAAAATATATGTTTAATGATTGTAAAGGGATTATTTTTTTTTACGTGGCAAAATACAATATTTGCACAGAATTTTCGAAAGATAAACCAGGATATTGCCCGAGAATAATTAGGAGGAAAGATAAGCAAAATTCAAGGAAAAACTATAAGCTGTAGAGGGCAGAGTGGTCAACATTTTTTCTGCAAGGGGATTGGCCGGTGGGGGACACAGGAATGGGGATAGCGGGAAGGGAGGGGAGTTTGAAGGTCAGTGGACATTCATTTCTCAAACGGTCATTCGGTATTCACCTCTCATTCAAGAAGCATTACTTGGAACTTTCTTGGCCCTGACCTTGCTGTCTCACAGGTAAGACAATTTACTTTTTTTTTTTTTCATATTCTAGCATGTGTGGTTTAAATGTTCAAAAATATACGATATTTTACTTTTTTTTTAATTGTGAAAAAAAAAGCGAAACATTTTTATGCTCGAAGGAAAAAAAAATGGCAAGGCAGTAGTTAGACGCACTGGTTCGTGGAACGACCATACCGGTTTTGGGGCGACCGATGAACCCTCCACAGTCATTTGAACGCACGTTTCTTTTTTTTTTCCCTCCCCTTGCTCCCGCCATTTTCTTCGTTCTCTCCTTGACGGTGCGGATAGCATTCGTTGGATATTTCTCCTACACAACGTCAACACGTCTTAAGGTAAATCTATTTTAATTTTAAAAATAATTTTAATTTCTGTACTCTTAGGATTTATATTTTTAACGTTTAAAATTTTATTTTATCTGAATAATTTTTAACGAATTTTCTTATTTAAAAAGGTTTAGAAGAATTGAAAAGACATTTTCAAAATATTTTAATCAATGCTTTTTAGCGCGCTGAAATTTAAAATTAAGATGGCGCTTTGCAATGTTGTACCACGTTACTTTTATCTTTAGCCAATTGGTTTCTATTAATCTTTTTTTTTTTTTGGCTAAGCGTGCTTATTATTATTTTATTTATATTAATAAATTATACGTTTGATCACATAAAAGTTAAGCTCTAAAGAGTTTGTTCAAAATTTTTATCATCGCGTGTTACGTATGTGTTGCAATTGTAGGAAAGGATGTTTATTTCCTCAAACAATTACAAACCTTACTTTAATGGTAAGAATTTATTAGTTTATTTAAAACTCATAATATATAGACTTATTTAATAATAATGGTAAGTTGAATTTAGATAAAAATGCTATATCTTTTAAAAATTCATAAACGTGTTTTACTAAACCTTTGTAAAATCTAATTTTAAAAACAAGCTTGAAAATATACCTCATATAATTTTTATAAAGTTTTATTTTAAAAAATATTCAAAAGCCTAAAATTCCATGAATTTCAAACAATTAGATTACTAAGTTACAAATAGTTGTGTAAATCTGATGAGCTACTTTTTTCTGGTAAAGTTTTCCATTTTTTTTAATGTCAAAATAATTTATATAAGAATTATTCTATTTAATATTTTTTAAAATATTCAACATAAATGAAAGCATCATGCTCATTACAAAATTTTATTTATAAAATTTAAGAGGTAATTCAAACTAATGTTAAAGAAGAATTAGATATATTAATTTACAAATAGTTTTGTAAATTTTTTTTTTCTGGTATAAAGTTTTGCATTTTCATGTCAAAATAATTTATATAAGAATTATTCTATTTATATATTTTTAAAGTAAAATTTGCAACAAGCATCATGCTCATTACAAAATTTTATTTATACAATTTAGAAGTAGTGTAAATTAAACTTTTGTTAAAAACTATAATGCTTAAATGTATTCATTCACTTTTTTTTATGAATTTTAAAATGTTAAAATAAGAGAAGGCTATGTTTTTTTGCCAAGAGTGCCAGATTTTGCCTTTTGCATTAATCAATGACCATGTAAATTTTAATTAATAAATTCTATATATTTTATTATAAGTTTAGACAGTTGCTGTGGTTTTAGTTAAATTATATTTAAAAAAATAATATATAAATTATATTCTAAAAATACATATAGCATATAAACTTATTCTATATATGTAGCATTAAAGCATTTAGAATGAATAGTAGTCTGAAGGATTGTAGCTAAAAAAAGGTAAAAATATTTACCATAGTGTGTGTGAAGGCTTTTATTGATTTTTGCTACACAACTTGTTGTTTCTATTGGGCAAAACTTTTTTGAAATCCATGCCTGATTTAGTTTTAAAATCTTTATTTGGATATTTTAGTATCATCTATAAATTTGAGAATTGTCTTGCTGCATTTTTCTGATATTCCTTAGTTAAATAAAAAGTAATCTGATTATAACATTTCAGCCAGTTAGTTTTATTTTCTCAATGTTTCGACAAAAATCTTTTGTCTTCGTCAGGAGAACAATTTTTAATGCCTTACCAAATGCTTTAATTTTATTTACTTCTCCTGACGAAGACAAAAGATTTTTGTCAAAACATTGAGAAAATAAAACTAACTGGCTGAAATGTTATAATCAGATTACTTTTTATTAACTAAGGAATAATCAGAAATATGCAGAAAGACAATTCTCAAATTTATAGAAGATACTAAAATATCTAAATAAAGATTTTAAAACTAAATCAAGCATGGATTTAGTTTTAAAATCTTTATTTGGATATTTTAGTATCTTCTATAAATTTGAGAATTGTCTTTCTGCATATTTCTGATATTCCTTAGTTAATAGCATGGATGGATGGATGGAGCAAGCATGGATTTAAAAAAAGTTTTGCCCAATAGAAACAACAAGTTGTGTAGTACAAATCAATAAATGCCTTCACACACACACTATGGTAAATATTTTTACCTTTTTATCATAGAAATATGAATGCCGGCCAGGCAACCTCTATCTTTACGATATAACATTTCAGCCATGCCTGTATAATTTTTAAAAAATTATTATCCTTAGTACATATGGTACAGGCCATGATCATGGTGGGTAGAAGTTGGCGACTTACTGTAAGTGCACCACATGTCTATACTTGAAAAGCATGCCTGTAGAATAAACTACCTTAATCAAGGATTTCCAAGATGCTCAATCAACAGAAATTTTTTCTTTTGATCCTTTAATCTTTCCATCATTTTTTAGTCTACGCAAGACCAGTTCATCTCAGATTATGTTTTCTTAGTTATAGCAACCTTCCCCATCAAAATTAGGTTTCTATTAAATATGCCAATTTTCAACCTTTTGCACTTTCTACTGTTCCTTTGTAACATCTGTTCTTTTCATTTGTAACATGAGTGTCATTTCTAGTACTTCCATTTCAAAAGTTTTCAAAAATCTGAATTTCCTAGGCTGACAATCCTTGCTTCACTCTCGTTTAAAGAATTGCATATTGTACTTTATGCTGTAAATTTTATGCTCAATTATAAATTGTTCTATTAAAAATATTCTTAAGGTAAATAAGCAATAATTCCATTAAAAGTTTTTCATAAATATGCTTAAATCTTATATATTGCAATAGATGCGAGTCTGATGGTCATCATATCAAATTTGAGAATATTTGCACATAGTCACCAACTTGACGGACTCTTTACTTGCTAAGATGCAAATATAATTGTTAGGCCTAAATGACATGTGCAAATTTTGGGTTAAATTGCATATAATGTGTAACTTGTGCAACATGCACAGTCAGGTTATTGAAATTTAAATGTCAAATTGTAAAATATAAAAATGACACTAAAAAAAAAAACATTTTCATGTTTTAGAAATTTGAAATACAAGGTAATAATCCTAATTAATAGTGCATAATGTTAAGTTATGAAAAAGGCATCTCCTTATCGTGCAACTGAAAGTTGCTGATGGCTTGCGCCATCATAATGTTAAGTGTAAAAGGGTTGTTACTGAAGCACATTTTGGATTTGGTCCTATCTCTTAAAGATTACATTTGTGTTGCATTTGCTTTATACACAACCAAACTTTGGTTTAACCAGAATTTTGGATCATTGAAATTTGGACAAGGGTAGTTGTTTTACTCTGCACTATGCTTTTTGTTAGGCTATTTATAGAACTGAAAGGATCTATTTTAAGAAGCTTCCCCTAAAATCTTGCAAAAATATTTGGTTGCAGTGTATGAATATACACTTTTATGATTTTAATATGGTAAGTAAGTCCCATGTTATGGGATAAATTCCCAGTTTTTAGCTGGAATTGTGTTGCAAAGTGAACTCCGGTTGTATCAGGAGTGATTTGAAAATGGTCTACTCTATACAGTTAGTGCCTGGTGTAGATTTTGAAGTTTGTGGTGTTAAAATGTCATATAGGAGTAAGTAAATATGTTAAGATATATTCTGCAATTGCCAAAATTTCAATTAAAAAAGATGAGATTATACGAAGTGGATGAGTTGTTAAAATACATATATCGAATGTTAGCTATGCCAACTGACAATACTGAGCTGACAGGTGGCGAATGGGGGGTGATTTGGGAGCAAGAATCTGCTGCTGCCGGATGATAGCTGCAGTGGGAATGACACAGGTTTTAGGTTAACCACCACGTGGTCTCTCTTGTAGGATATTTATATTACGTTGCGCCCCGTTCTTCCAAAATTATGGATATAGTGTGTGGGGGTTTGACACGTTGCGCGGCCGTTACCCCACCGTTGGCCTCGCGGGTTGTGTCGTCGGTGGTCAAGGACCGACCCCCCCAACAAAGACCGAAGAAGAGAAGCGGCGGCCATTGTCTTTGGCGACCTTCAGATCCGGTTTACAGCTGTACCGCCATGGCCGCCGCCGCTTCCCGCCAATTTGACACTCCCTCCCTCCCTTCCCCCTCCGTCGACTTCCCCTAACTTGTGGTTGTGTTGCAGGTTGTTGCCTACCCGAGTCCATCGTCATACGAGAGGGGTCTTCCTGGGTGGGTGGCCTCATAGTCTGATTGTGTATTGAATCTCTGACTAGAGTTCCACTCATCCAGGACGGTCCCTTCAGTTCTACTGCCTTCAGTTGTTCCCTGCCAGTCAGCTAGAGCGGGTGCTGGAGGGTGGGTGGGCTCATAGTCGGATAGTATGTGAAATCTCTGACTAGAGTTTCCACTCATCCTCGGGTGACCACGCCAAAGCCTCGTGGTTGTCTCTGCTCAATTGACGAGTGAGCTCGTAGCCATTTCGTTTTGGAAGATGACTAGAGTTCCACTCGTCCATTGTGTGAGACTTGCCAGCTAATTTCTTCACCGATTGACGGATTTGTTGGTAAGTTTGGTTCTTTCTCTTCTTATCTTTTATTGATGTTACAGTACAAGTTTTTTTTTTTTTAGTGAGGCATATCTAAGATTTTATTTCTAATTCTTTTCATTTTTTTAAAAATTGTAAATGCGTCAAGTTGCATTCAAATATTCCGGACGGCAGATTTTTTTTTCTTCTTTCTGGTCGCCGCCGTCTATCGCGCGGCAACTTTTGGAGCGGTCGTTAATTGAGGGGGGGCGCTGGTGGCGCATGCGCGGCGCGGTCCGTGACTTCTCGAGCCCCCGTATACATTCCTTTCGTGTCGCAAGCTGAGGTGGTCGGTGAATGTGCTTCTGGTCATGTTCTCGAGTCTCATGACTAGATCCACACTCATCCACTGCTAAGGCACCCCCCCTCGCCTCACAGCACCCTCCGACAACGCTACCTTCCTATATTGGTATCACATGCTTAGGCCTAAAACTTTTAGTCACGTTGTTACTGTCTGCCTTTATTTCTCTTCCTCTCTTCATTCTTTTAACTAAAGGTAAGTTTGTTTTTTTTATTCCTTAAAGTTCTCACTTTGTGGTGGTGGTTGTTTGTTTGTTTCTAAGTGTTATGCAGATTTTTTTTTTGAAACGACGCCGTCGTCTGGTTCCCAGAAGTTTCCGTTAAACTTGAAACCGGTTTGGAACCCAAGGTCGACTGACGTTCAGGTACTTTGGCTTACTCAACTTTTATTTTCTTTTACTTCAAGTAATTTTAAACTTAACACATTTAAACTTTACTTAAAGCCTTCCCAATCGAGACGCCTGTTGCGTCTATCGTTTGCGCATAGTTTGAAAAGTTAAACTTTTTGCCAACCCCCCCCCTATTTCCCCCCATTATTTCGCGTCGAGTCGTAGTCGTCTAGCCTTGGTTTTATTTCACGCTAACTTCCTTATCTCAATTTTAAAGAAAAAAGATAAGCACTTTGTTTATTTTGTAGCTGCCAAAATATCTACAATGCCGTTTTATCTTATGCTTTTCAAGTATCCACATTTTTAAAACTATGTAATTTTTTTTTTATTTTGTTAATTATATAAGATTCTACATTTGAATAATTTTTCAAGATTTTAAAATTTGCTTATTGCCTTTTTTGATTTCATGTGTACACTTTTTTGTTCTTTCCTGCCAAAAGTTTTCAACACTTTTTAAAAATTAAATGTTATAATTTTTTCAACCATGGTTATTCCTATTTAGGCATTTTTAGAGCTAATTAGAATGAACATTTCCAATAATTATGCAGGTCAAGTTTCTTCGCATTGTTTATTCTCTCATGCTCATATAAAAAGCTTATTAATTTTTTACTTATATAAGCTGTTAGCAAAGAAAGTTTTATCAAAGTTAATTTTAGAAATATTCAAGTGGTTTATTGAATATTTTATTATATCATTGTTGTAGCAATTGAATCGCTAGTTGTCAAACCTTCTTGGGGATATAACCACTTCTTGTTTTAAGAAAAAAATATTTTTTCCTGAGAGCAATAATAGGAGCTTTGAAGATGGGTCTTACTGTGTTAAACAACCTTCATTTCCTAGCAGATTTAAACATGTAATAAGCCATTAGTATCATAGCAACACCTCACCCAACTTTATCCCAAGTTTTAGGCAATGTTAAGTAAATTGTATTTAAACATTTCATTTAGGAAAAGTCATTAAGACTTTTCTTTTTTAGAAAAGCAGAAAAAACATCCTAATTAAGCTTTGATAATTGGCATGTTTTAGACAATGAGGAAACTAAGCAACCATACGCTGATGGCAAAAGCTCTTATCCTGTTATTGTAATAAACCAAAAATGCCTTCTTTAGCTTTTGTCAAGCTTTTACAAATAAATCCATAGTGTGATCACATGAAATACATGGAATACAAGCTATTTCCATTGGTTCTTCCTTATTGCTCAAGACACTTGCTCAAATTCTCTGTAACTAGACCATTTTCATAGGATGGAAGTGCTTAAATGTCATTTCCTTAACATGAACATTTGTCGCAGTAAAGACATAACATTACACCCTTATATCCTTTACTATGAATTGTGAATGTGGTTGGTTCATGCTAATTTTTTTACCATAGCAACATCTTACCTACTATATTAGAAATTATTCTGTAGGAATGTTATTTTTTAATAGGATATGTATATATTTTTTATTTTAAGAAATTTCCTGAAGTGATTTGCTTAGGGCCCCCCTATCCAATTTTTTTTCTATGAATAACTTTATTTAAAAAAAGTCATGAGAAAGCAGCACATAGTTCATCATTCAATAATTTTTGTGTACCATGTCACGAAACATTAGTTGCAATAGCAATACTATTTTAATTCAAAGATGTCAGACTGGCTCCACTCTTGTATAATTGAAAAGACTGAAATAACTGAAGAATTATTGCAAGTTTGCCCTAGGAAAGCATTGAATGAGGTTTGTTGCACATGTTGCTGCAGGTTCCACACTTGTTCAATTTTGAGGACATGTTTGAAGTAACTGAAGAATTATTGCACATATAAAGTTTGCCCTAGGAAGGCTGCATTGAATGGTGTTTGTTGTACATGTTGCTGCAGGTTCCACACTTGTTCAATTTTGAAAACCTTTGAAGTAACTGAAGAATTATTGCAAGTTTGCCCTAGGAAGGCTGCATTGAATGGTGTTTGTTGCACATGTTGCTGCAGGTTTGGCGCTGACTCTGCAGACTTGCATCATCCATCTTTCCTCCCCTAGGCTAGCAACTCTACCACTTGTATGTTGGGTCAAGAAATAAAATGTTGACATGTATTCAAGTGTTGTCTTTCTTTTACATTTATCTTGCCTCCCCTGCTCCTTTCTGATTGGATTGTTATTTAGAATGATGTTACAGCCATATATTTTTAATGCAATATCTACTTAGAGAGGTTTTCTAGTTTGGTTTTCTGTTAAACCTAATATATTTTCAGGATTGCCTTAAAAAATCCAGGTAATCTGGTAGAGAAAAGGAAGTAGTGCCAAAAATATAACATCATCCTGCCGACACAAGAATGATGTGTGTCAATTGAAGGCATGCTTATTGATTTATTTTCAATATGTATAAAAATTGGTAGTCATTTTAATTTTACTTTAAATGCTTAAATGTTGTTTCTATAAAAATTATTGTTTAAAAGTTTATAGTTGTTTATAGTATTTATTATTGACAGATGAAAATGATTTTGATCATTTACAAAACTTATTTTGATAAGGTACAATTTGGATTATAGATATAAGGTAAAAATACCAAATAAGTTACTGAAGTGTCACATTATTTGGATTGGGTCTGTTGCTTATCCCTAGTACATGTAGTACAGGCCATGATTATCATGGTGGGTAGAAGTAGGCGACTGCTTTTACCGTAAGTGCACCACATGTTAAAAGCAGTTTGACTTTGCACTTACAATGGATCGGGTCTTGTTACCTTATGTTAAAATTTTTTTTGTTCATATATAAATTTGCATGTTTCAAGCCTTTTGATTTTGGGTTTTGAAAGTTTTCAGTCCACAAGTTTTGATTTTGTAAAGCCCGGATTTGCTTAGCTAGTTTAATATTTAGGCCAACCTTTCTTGGGGTTTCATTTTACTAAATTCAAGATTTAAAATGATTCTATATACTGAAATCTTGCAATAACCAAGAGCCATAAAAAAAACTACTTAGAAAATTAATGTGCCATGAAAAATAAAATTGGTATCTTTACTCTTTTCACTGTATGTAGCCATTGCACTTTAGAGTAACAGGTCCATGTTACTGTATGCATAGAGCAGTGGGTCCACTGCGTCATTGTGTATGTTGGATCTCTGAGGAAGGAACTATCATGACATGTGATACCATTTCTTCAAGTAACTCCCTTCTCATGTTTCATGCTAGAATTTTACAATCTGTGTTTGAAAACTTGCAAAAAAAAAAAAATGTCAACTTATTTTTGAACTATTGACTTGATGGCTTAAATTTGTTTAGCATCTTTCGGATCAATATTTATTGTAGCAACAGATGTTTATAAGTTCCCCACTACTTCCATGTCCAATTAAAAAACAAAACAAAATTTGATATTGAATAGTATTGATCAAAAATTGCTATATAGTAAATTGATGTCATGACTGCCAAATGATGTCAACCACTTATTTCCAAGAGGGTTTTCACAATTTTAAGCTTGTGATATTGTCACCAACCTGAGTGCTGAGACAGTAAAGGGATGGTTTTCATATAAGAAAGGTAACCATTATTATATAATGGAGGCAATGGACAATAATTTTGATTAAATCTTATGTTGTGTCGAATGATGAACCGCAGCAGCAATGTCCACTATCTTAAGCTGCTGCTCTTACATTTTTTATTAAATCTTATGTTATTCTATATACAGTTATGAGCGTCATTCTTCGTCGCCTCTGTCACTGTTTGCTTTTTTTTTTTTGGAATGGCTCCCTCCTATTGGTCGGCTACGATCACGCCACCTTTGCCCCCCCATCATTTGGTGCCGCCAATGCGCGAGACACTTCTGTCACCGTTTGCTTTTGGTTCAGTGGTAGAATGCTCGCCTGCCACGCGGGCGCCCCGGGTTTGATTCCCGGCCGATGCATTTTTTTTTTTTACAATTTTTAAAACTCATTTATATATTATACAATTGCATACAATGACATCCACGGCGCCAATTTATAATTGTAACGAATAGTATTTTAATAAAAGCATTTAATCGGGTCATTCGGCTAGTGGATATATAAACACAAGACACAATTGTGCATTCTTTGGTAGTAGCATTGTTTATATCTCGAGACAAAATATAAAATGAGTAAATATCTACACCACTTATCTACCCATCTTGCTTGAAAAAAAGTTCTTTTGTCATTTTCCAATTTTTTTTTCCATCCAAGAAACCTTACTAAAAATGTAAACTTCCTTTTTCTTTAGTTCCATTTTTAAAAACATTTTTTAATAACAAAGTATCTTTTACCTTTGCAATTTTGGCCTCAACTTTTTTTTGCACCTGATTTATAATGCTTAGAAAAGCTTTTACCTGTTTAATTTCTGTTATTAATATTTTGCTATTATTGTTAATGAAAGCAATGATTTGTATCTTCTTTGGTCAAATTTAATTTCAAACTTAGTTGTTTTCTAGATATGTGCCACCTAATTCCACACCAATACACCTTTCATTTTTTTATTACTAATATTTATTATCAACTTAAGGACTAGTAATGGCCCCTAGAACCAAAGACACTACAATCTAAAGGACATAGTTGCAGAGTTAAAATGTACTTAAGGGAGTCTTACCGGATAGTTGCTACATAGTAAAGATATTAATTTTGGTAATGGAAATTGTTTTGTGTAGATAATATATAGATAGATTTTTTTAAATGTGTGTGAACTGTCTGGTTTAA